GCTTGCCCAGCCAGGAACACTGATCCCCTGGAAGCTCTCCATTTGTCTCTGAAGTTCCCTCACTACAGGGATCACCTGGCTAAGGAGGCCATCACCGGCACTGAGGGCCTCGGTGGCCTCAAGGAAGGGCTTGAGGACCACCAGGATCTGGTAGGTGGTATTCCACTCTACTGTTAAGGGAGCCGCTGATCCCAATCTCCCCGAGCAAGGCCATCTCATGGATGGGCTTCTGTTGCTCCACCAGCCTCTAGAGCATCAGGTACGTGGAGTTCCACCGAGTCTCCACATCCTGCATGATTTTGTGCTGTGGGATGTTCACCTCTTCCTGTTTTCCCTGCAGCTTCTTGCCCCCCTTGATGTTCTGGTGGAAGTAGCCTGCCTCCTTCCTGCATTTGGAAGTGAGCTTTCTGGTGGTGCTAGCACTGTCATCTGCAGCCCTGTCCCCCTCCAAGGCATCTCTGACAATGAGGTGGAACTTGTGTGCCACACAGCAGAAGCCAACAAAGTTGGCATCACAGACCGCCTTGACCCTATTGGCCCCATTGTCTGTGACCATGAACCCATGGGTAAACTTGCCCTACCCAACGAGCCACCCCTGCACCAAGCAGTTCATGAGTCCCACATGGCAACAGAAATTGTGGGGCCCATCCATCACCTTGGCTTGAAGGACAGCTCACTGACAGCCTGACTGGTCGCACCAGTGCCCTGTGAGGAAGAGGTATGGATGATCTCCATCCTGGCTGCTTCAGATGTCTGAGGTGAATTGTAGGGCAACCTTGTAGCGGACCTGCCTTGCACAGCTCCTCCCTCAAGTACTCCCTGCATACCTCATTCAGGGAGGACACCACCGTCCTGCTAAAGGTGGTGTGTGCGGGCACTTGGTATGATGCGCCCACAAGTGCAATGAGCCGCAACCGCTTAAACCCTGGCTGCTCAACCAAGAAGAGCTGGCCATCCACAGCAAGCATCTCCCCAATGCTCTGGGTATTCTTGCTCACCCTTGCAACATGCCCCACTTTCTGTTCGCCTTTCCCCACACTGTTCCAGGGTGGCATGTCTCCGCTTTGAGGGGATGGAGGCTTTGGAGCGAAAGGGGGACTTCCCTTTGGGCACGCTCCTGCTGGTGCCAGGCTGAGGAGGAGCAAGGGCAAGGGGGTGGTGCCTGCAGAGATGCATCAACATCCCCATGGTGCTCATGTGTTTTGTTCCTTTGCCCCAGCTGGTTTTGGCTCAGCAGTCCAAGCAGATAGCGTATGTAGGATCATCTGCCAGCTCAAAATGATCCCAGACAACACTACCTGTTTGCTTCTGGGGTGCAGGTGCATGTGTGCATGCTGCAATTCCCCCCTCTTCAGCAGGCAGAGGCACAGCAACAGGAGGAGCAGACTCAGCTGAGCCACTTGCCTCCACAAGCTCTACCTCAGCCTCCTCTGAAGTGCCTTCTGGGGAAGGAGACCTGGCTCTATGGGAAACTTGAGGGGTGTGGAGCACAAACTCAGATGATTCTCCCTCCTTTCCCAGAAGTTCCCTTGCTAGGGCACTTATATCCAGTTCCACCTCTTCCTCTGGCACTGGAAGGCTTAGTATGGGACGTGAAATGGAGGTGGAAGAGACTGTCATGCTGGTGTTGCTGCTTGTTGTCATGGGGGGGGCGGTTATGGAAGGTGCTCTTGGAGGGGATGCAGACTCAGGCCCAGGTAGTGGCACTGGCAGTGCTCCCCTTTCCTTGCTTCCTGTAACACTGGAAGCCTTGAGCCTGCTTGTTGTAGCAAAGAGGCTGCATCTCAGTTTGGGGGAGGGGGGAAACTTACACCTCTCCCTCTACCCACTTTTCCATCCATCCCTGGAGGCTTGCCAGCTGCCTTTCTAGCATGCTTCATGGTGTGTTTCACAGTCTCATCTTTATAAAAATATATAAATGTATATGTGTGTTTTCATATATAAATTCTATAGTATATTATGCTTGCAATATAATAAATAAAATAAAAATATATAAATGTATATGTGCGTCTTCCTATATCAATTCTATAGTATAATATGCACTATAATTATGAAATTGAAAAGAATTAATCAATGAATAAAATAATAAAATAAAAGTGTCTAGAAAGGAAGCAAAAGGTATTACAGAATCCCATTTGCTAAGCTAGCAAGTAGGAAGTCAATGGTAGTAGTAGCCTTTGTTGTCTAATGCCCCCAAACTTCTGGAAGATAGCTCAGTAACTGACCCCAAGGCAGAAAGCAGGCCAGTTCACACAATGCTGCCTTTATGCTGTTTTTGCATCCCTCCCCCAGAGCACTGGGATTGATCCTTCCCTGAGGTCCCTTCCAGTCACCAGCCAGCTAGAAAGTCAATGTCAGAGCAGTCCTTCCCCACTCTTCCCCCTCCCTCTCCTTACTTTGTTTCCCTACAGGCAAGCCCAGCTTCAGCTTTGAAACTCGAAATGTTTTGAAAATTTTGAAATGTTTCGACTACCCTTGTTTTGTTTCGAGGCTGTTTCGAAGCCCTTCATTTCGTTTTGATTTCACTGTTTCAAGCTCGAAACGAGTTGAAACAGCGTCAAAATGAAACAGCTGGCGAAATTGCACACAGCCCTCATAAATATACCTATTAGTCAGGAGTAAACCCTTAGTCTTCCATGATGCAGAATCCCACTGATTTCACTGAATTCTATATAGGTGCAGCAAAAGCTGTGTTATCCAGCACTTTACAAACTGAAAAGCTCCACTAACCAGCATCTCTCAATCTTCCAAAGGATGCAGCAAAAGCAAAATCACAAGGCAAGTCTTACTTGCTGTGATTCGTCCTTGTAGACCGCGGCCCAGGGCAAAGCAGCCTGCACAGGTTCCCCCATTCCCAGGGGGATGCCGGATAACAGAGCTTTTGCTGTATTGGGCTCCAGCTGCATAATGTTAAGACCTGGAAGCTATATTATTTTGTACTTTTAAGAAATCAACTTACCTTTGCTGTTTGCTCTTACACTTCCAACTGCAATCAAGAGATAAGAAAAATAAGAGAAATCCTGTTGTTAAAAAAGTCCAGGTTCTCAGCTTCTAGATGAAGAAAAGTTGAGAGAGAGTATCGGTTAAAAACTGTATAAATAAAAAAAAAATGCTTATTTCTGTCATTAATAAAACTATTTAAATAAACATCATGCAAAAAAGTTTGCTTTTTCACTTTTATTTTTAGACAGTAAAAAAACAAATTGGTCAAATTCGTGTTAATTTCCTACCTAAATGCTAGCAAAAATGACCAGCCTGGTACATATTTCTGCACAGGAATGCCAAAATGGAAATAAACCACAATTTTCATTTAAACTTAAAATATTTTGGGCTGACACAGACCCCTCCTGAAGTCTGTATGACCGTGAATGGACACAAGGTTTCCTGCGCATATTCATGTGCAGCATTGGAGGGTTAATTAGGAACCAATACAACAAGTCCTTCTGAAAGTGCTCTAGCATTGCCAGCATGCACAAAATCACCACAAGTCTGGCAATATTTATCATTTCTTTATCATTTTTCTAAAGCTCCAGATCTTGCAGCCCTGTGGGAACCTGTTTTCAGTTCGGTTTTTTTTAATGTTTTTGGCTCCCGGGTTCTCCAAGAGCACTGGAAAACGTAAACCCGTAAAGGCTTGAAATGCAATGGCAAATAAAAAGAACTCAAAAGTATTTTTAGCTCTCCCAATTTTAAAGCCAATTTTATAGATTTGGGGAGTAGGGGAGGCGGATTCAGGATCTCTGGCAGTACTATTATTTATATGTACTTTCTGCAGCAGCCCAGTCCCATTACAATTGACAGGAATATTCCCAGAGATAGAGTGAAAGAGAAGCATCAAATTTGTGTATGGTTAACCCGTAGGTCTGCAGATGAGGTTCTGTACTGCAAAGGAGCCCCGTTCTCCATGAACCTTAGATCTTAAATGCAAAGCATTTCAATCGCGGGTCTGCTGACAGTCTGTTAACGCTGTCTTTTGTAATGCCAGAAACAGGCTAAAACCGGGGCCCTAACACTTGTGAAGCTGGTGAGAACATAAGCAACTGACTGATTCGTTTTAATGACATAGGGCAGGGGTTCTCAACCTTTGTCATACCACGACCCCAAGTGCTGGGTGGTGGCAGCGGGGCACGGGGGAGAGCTCACACACAGCAGCCAACACCACCATCCACCACTCTGCACCACTGCACACACCCCCTGGGAAGTTTACAGCCCCCTTTTAAGTTGCCTGTGACACCCCCCCACAAAGGATCGCAACCCACAGTTTGAGACCCCCTGACACAGGGGAAGGGTTTTGCTGTCCTCGTTCCTTGGAGGATCAGAACAGCAGAGATGTCCTAGGCCCGAAGAAAGGCGACTACACCCGAAAGCTTGCCAAGATCTTTCTTCTCCCCCAACGACTCAGGGCAATAAAAGCTAGCAGTGCAATAAAAGCTAGCACGTCCATTGAAAGAACCTGGCCTGCCATAAGAAAGGCAGCTCTGGCGGTCCCAATGGCCTCAACGGGGCTTTGCCCAGGAAGAGGGGTCACAAGGCGAGAGTCCTGAAACAAGGTGGCAGAGTGCGCCAGAGCCACCAAGAAAGGCGCAGGCCCGCCCGGGACGGCGGCTTGGGCGGGAGGAGCGAGGGCTCGTGTCAGGCGCTCACGGCAGAGCGCGGCCCGCAGCCGAGGCCCAGGCTGCGCCGCCCGAGCGGCAATGGGCGCGAGCTCCACCCCTCTCGCCGCGGCTCCCTCCCC